ATCGCTACTGGCAACTTCGAACCTATTACCGAGTACATCTGATAAACTCGCAATATTGGGGTGAATTATCACGAAACCATCAGTTATGTCGCACTAAACCTATCTTTATATCACACAACGCGCACAGGTCATTAAGTTCAAGTATCAAGTCTTGTTGGGGCGGTGTAGTGACAAGTGGCGCGCTTACCACTCGCGCGGTCCTGGGTTCGAATCCCGCCCAGGCCAACCAAGCCTTCTACCCTCCGGGGACGGTAAATTGGTACCAGATTCGTCTGGGAGGATAAAACACTGACTTGTACATCGGCTGGCCCCCGCAAGTCATTGTAGGCCACATCGCATTCAATAAGCCACTACGATTCTGAATGGAAGTAGAATGCGTGCCGCATCCCACAAAGGGATTGATCAACGGCGAAGACTTTATCCTTTACCCTTTATTGAGTCTTATTATGGATTTGGTGGGGAATTCCGCGTCAAGCAAGAAAGCTGGGGTTGCAAGGGGCGAAGATCAGCTTCCTCGGTGAAAGGTGGCTGGTAGGCCGCGAATTATGCTGCACTTATGCACCGACGCCGACTGCCGGAAGCTATTCAGCTTTCGGCGAAAGGAAGTCCAAAAGAACGAGTCGGGAGAAGACGGGTCAAAGATCTCACCCACATTCCACCAACGCCATACATCAAAGATACATAAGCCCATCAACCAGTTAACTTACTTACTTCCAATCAACCAAAGCTACACACCTCGAGAGCTTCGAGATCAAATAAATGTCAAAGGTAGCCTCTTCAAGGGTTTAAATAACTTACTTGATCGTAGTGCGAAAGTCGTTGATAGGCTTCGAACGTCTTGCCCCATTCAATGCATATTCTCATTTCTCGAATATTCCACATACGTATATCATTCATTGAAGCCGGATATAACTCTTTGAAGACCGTGCTGGGCTAAAAGCATTCAAAGTAACTTCCAAAGTCCCTCACAGCGATAGCGCTCAACACATTTGCTGTCATGACGACGCGCAACAGAAGCCGCTTTTGATCAGTGAACGTGGGAATCTTTACACGACAAATTCCCTAATTGACTTGATTCTCTAGAAATAGCAGGGTGACGGTAGATTTCCTGAGATACTCTGATGAAGAATACGAAGTGATGCAGTGAAAAACACCGAGTTCAAAGGCATATGGCACGATAATTTGGTAC